AGTTGTCAGTGACGCCTCGTCCAAGCGCCCTCCTCCGGCCGCGATGCAGTCAGGTGCCCACGCGCACCCTCGCCTGGCAGCAGCAGCGGTGGATGCTTCTTCTTGCACCCTGATGACTCGACAGGAAATGCCGGACACGGTCGTCCGACAGGAAATGCCGAGCACGCTTGCCCGACAGGAAAATGCCAAGCCCCGCTTGGCCACGATGAGCGCCTTCACAAAGCACCTGCGCCTGGCTGCGATACGTGCCCCATGCGAGCACACGCCCCAAGCCGCAATCCCGGTTTTCTTTCTTCCGGTATTTCCAGGTCCAGTCCTTCTGCGCTGACGACCTGGTCTTCTGGCCTTTGGTCCTATTGCTTCAGCTCAAACCTCCGGCTTCCTTCGGTTGCTGATCTTCACTCGGCTCCGAAGGTCTTCTTTTCTCCACAACCAGCAGTCCACAGCTGGTTCCTTGATCCAGCTGGCGGGGTTTGGGTGGTCATTAATCCGGCTCCGAAGGACCAATTGAAAAGGAACCCAGACGGGCGGAAACTTTCAGGCTCTGAAACAGAAGGGTGGAATCGAGGCTTCTCTCGATCCGGCCTCCTATAACGCCTACGTTGGGTTCGGGAACAACGTATGTGATCCCCGCAACGGAGTAACACACAAGGGCGATAACCTCTTCCTTTTCAGTGAGTAGGTTCAGACGGGGATTACGGGTCTTCCGAAGTCGTCCCGGTCCCAACGCCTTAATTCTTCGATTTGGACTGTATAATTTTGAGGGATGAATTTCTTGGGAATAAAACAGCAATTATCTTCAAACCGTTCCGTGAGAGAGTAATTACTTTTCCCTATCACTTCCCTACACTTTTTCTTTCTTCTTCTTATTGACTGCTGGTCTGATTTCCGAACTTTTTCCCCGAACTTCTTTCCCGAACGAATTGCAATAAAACTCATTTACTAAGCTACCCCAGAGCTATACGCGAAAGTGAGCCGCGCCATTCGCGCGCTTGCGCAACTCAATTACATGAATTTGTTCTATTACTCTCTCACGTTTTACTTAATTACTTTATTTGCATAAGTCATACATCAACATAATTTACCTGTATAGATAGCACAAAACAATATCTACACTACGATATACATTACATTTTTATATCACGAAAAACCTATTATTTATTTAACCAAATATGCCTATTTTACTCACAAGTTCAAACTCGAAATTTCTTAAATATTTAACATAGAAAGTTAAAACAATGTTTTCCACTTGAAATTATACATATGTTAACTAATACAATAGTTTAATTTACATTTTCTCTATTTATTTCACTATTAAAACACTTTTAAATTTCTTATACAAAACTATCATTATTTCACTTATACACAGGAATTTTCACATAAAAATAACACAGAATTCACCCTTTTAGCACGTACAATCAACCTGAAATGTTTTACAAGTCATTTTTACATAAATTGCTGAAATTACAAATATTTAAATTTTTACATATTTGGCCTCCTAAGTACGTGGCTAGCGTGCGTCTATGAACTCACACTATTTGAACAACTAACTTTTGCACGGCTCTCGGCTATCAGAAAAAATGAAAGTCTGATATACACCAATTTTAACAATATTGGGTGAATAAATGCTTTTACACAATTTTCGAAATGTAGGAAACTATCTCTAATCAGATTCTTATCAGTTATCATGTTTCTTATCAAACAATATAAGTGAATGTTCTCATAAATCAATCATGATAAATAGGCATTTGTTTTCGTACAAAACATATCAAACTTATATAAGACAATACTTATGCTATTAATTTCCGTTAATTCTATTTATGCACAGAGTGATCATCTCGACCGGGGAACAAATCCGATCTTTAACTCTATTTAAATATTCCTTTGAATTTACTAAGTGATATTATTTAGGAAAACAATAAACTAGTCCGGCCTGGGAGTCGAACCCAAGACCTTCATATCATTAATTCGATATTTCTTTAAGATTTAACTAAGCATTTTCTTATTAGAACATTGTTGCTCGATAATTTGTTTTTTAGAAGCTCATCGGTTGACTTAATAAACTGAAATATTCTTATAGGCGCGTCGCCAACACCTATGTTTAACAGTGAACTTTTAATAGGATGTAACGGTAACTTTACACATTATATTCAATTTATATTCTATTATTTTACAGAAATTATTTAATTTACAGATTATATTCAAAACCTTGAATTTGAATTTAGAATTATTTGTTCAAATAATTTCCCTTTCGCGAAAGTGTGCTAACGTGTCGCCGCGACCGCCTGCCACCGGTCACTGGCCTACAATTTGTTACGTCACTCCACTTACGACATTTTAAGTGTTGTGTCAGATGGTCACAATGTTTGATTTACAGCTTTACTCTCGTTGAAAGAAAGTTTGAAGTAATGTGGCTTTACGTTTCTAGGTCGAAGTCTGACGACACCAAAAAGTGCATAGCACTGCATGAATGCGTTTTCTTAATGAGTCCCTTATCAAATAATATTATATAGACGTGGTAGCTCAGAGGCTAAGAGTTCGCTGACGAGTAATGTTACAAAAAGAGAACGACACGGGTTCGATCACCGCGGAACAAATTAAGTTGTTGATTGCAATTTATGAGTGCTAATTTACCACGTCGTTCCTCAGTGAATTAATATATCGTGAGAATACCTACATATCCGAGAAATAAAAATTTGAGGACAAGTGAAGCTCGTCAACTCGCACTGATAGTAGCGAGGCATTTTTTTGTACGAGGCAGGCTACAGTAATATCTGTGAACGCTATCTAGCGTTCACAGATATTACTGTACTGACTGTAGTATCTATCTTCCAAGTTGTATGGCAAGCAAAACCAGACTTAGTCTTAAAATTAATAGAGTTGACCCAGATATTGTACTGCATGTACGTATAGGGCGGCTCGAGTTTTTAGGAGGCGGTCGTTTAGGGGCAAGATCTATCAAGTCAATATCTCGAAGTTATCGATGCTCTTGTGAGTTCTTGTGCGTCATTGGTATCTGAAATACAGAATTATCTCATCTAGAACTTGGTATGCTGCAGGTGACAGAGAAAAATAAAACAGAACAAGAGCAGCAGCATCATCTTGATAACAACTCACGTAATAAAAAATGTGATTGTCCCTAAAATATACCACCTAAGAGGCAATTTACTGGGGAGGCGCATATTCAAATATGTATATTTAAGTATTTATTGTACTTCGATTAAAACATTAAAACTCAATTACATTTATTTAAAACCAACCGATTACGTAAGTTAGGTACCTACTATGTTTCTGTCTTGTTGACTGCCTCGTTGGTTTAGTGATTGTAGTAGTGGTACTGCTGATCATGAGGGCCTGGGTTCGAATCCCGGGTCGGGCCACAAAACCAATCATTGAGTTTTTCTGTCATGAAATTCTCGGTAGCTGCCCGGAGTCAGGAAGTTGACGATGTATCAGGAAGTTGATCACCCCGATGCCTCGGAAAGCATGCAAAGCTGTTGGTGCTGCGCCTCTCTTATTTCTTTCCAGTTGTGTCAACAAAACAGAACAGAATCAGATCACTCTCATAATCAAATGGGACGGTTTACCGTCCCTAAGGTTACGAAAATGATGAAATAGAAAGTGCATCTGTGCTTGCGCATACGCTACAATCCTGCCTAGTCTCCAGAGGCAAGCCACCGTGACCGAAATTCGGTCTGGTGGACATTATTATTATTATTAAGCTTCTGTCAAGCGAATGCAAGGCGAAGTTGATTACGAAAAATAATCTTAACGAAAAAGGAGATTATAATCGACAATTTTCTTTCTATCACGAAAAAAATAAATTTTGAAGTGGTGGAGGAACTCGGCAGCTATATTAATGCTACAGCACGAATGGGTTGGCTCCATCAGACTAAGACCACGCTCTCACAGAATACCAGCGTGAAGCAGCAAACTGTGCTTCGTATGGTGAGTGTAGTAATGAGTTTTTGCTGGTAACGATGGATTCTGTCTTAGTGCTCAGGTGTGACAACGCTTCTGTATTTTAAACCTTAATCGACGATGGGTGTAGATTTCTATAGGGCGGAGCATCCACTTACCATCAGTTAGACTGTGTGCTAGTTTGTCACCCACCCCAAAAAAATAACCATTTATACAGTCATGTGGAATATTATTGTAAAACGTTTAAATGTAATTTTTAAGTCATATAAAATCGTAGAAGAAACAGACATAGTGAAACTCATCTCGAAGCGCATCTATTGCGGTACATTTAGGAGTATAAATATCGTGTATACAGACTGTTAACGAGCTGTCTGCCTGATAATAAAAAAACCACTATGTGTTATGAAAACTAGAGGCTAATTATAAACAAAGATGGCTCATATGTGTTCACTCCAGTGGAGTGTTCTTTAATTTCGGGACACACCAGTGTTGTGCTATTCTAAAGTAGAAATAAATAAAAGAATGATACCCATATAAACTGACTACGACCACCCAAAAGAAGGAATTTCCTTATTCCTTAAAATGGACACTGTATGATAAATTTTTGCTATTTCTAATTACCATTGATAGGTTGCATAATTAGATATCGTTTGTAATTTTAAAACTGATAAAAGAACGTGAGATAATTAATGAAGATAAAAATTAACTTTAAGACAATGAGCACGTATCTCAACTAGTATTTAAATTAAAATTTATATTCTTGTCTTTCATTTCATCGTGTTTTTCTGGAAAAAACTTTAAAATGTTGAAGTTGTTGTGGATATTCGTTGTTTTTAAATTTTCTTTTGCAGCTAACAAGTCCTATATCAATTGTGAGTATTACCTTCTAGTTTTAGTCTGGGTAATAAAGTAAAATATATCTCTATAGACGCGTTTAACTTTTAATGGAATTTAAAATACTTCAATACCAATATAGAAAGTGTTATTAGCTTGAATATTTTTTGTTCATCTTTCATTTATATCTTGTTCAACCACGTTAGTATTAAGATAAATCTTTTGGGAATTTCGCTATAACAAAG